AAAAGTGGCCTTCTTAGTAACTATCACATCGGCCAGACGAATTTCGGAATTGGCTGCGCTCTCAGTCAGGAGCGACTTGTGTACCTTTTTCACGGATAGGGTAGTCCTTAGACTGGACCCTTCTTTTATCCCAAAAGTCAATACCTGGTTCCATAGGTCCAAGGATCTAGTTCTTCCAGACTTTTGCCCTAACCCGTCACATTGTTTGGAGAGACAGTGGCATAAGTTAGATGTGCGCAGGGCTCTGTGTCATTATGTTAAGCGGACTTCGGTTTTTTGTAAGTCAGAGGCTTTGTTTGTATCTTTCCAGCCCTCTTCCATGGGTCAGAAGGTCTCCTCTTCGATCATTGGTAGATGGATCAGAGCATGCATTACTCAAGCCTATTCTCTTTCAGTCTCTACTTGTTCCCACACACATCACGGCTCATTCTACACGCAGTGCGGCTACGTCAGCGGCCTGGTCTACCCAGGCGTCTGTTGAGATCTGTAGGGCAGCGACTTGGTCCTCCCCTTCCTCCTTTGTAAGAATTACAAAATTGATAGGTTTGCAGTGGCGGATGCCTCATTTGGTAGGAGGGTTCTACAACAAGTAGTTTCTTCTCAGGGGACACAAGCCTAGACTCTTCCCCCCCCTGTAGGGACATGAGCGGCTTTGGTATGTCCCACCAGTGGATTCTATATTCATCATGCTGGACAAGGGGCGTTGTCTTAACTGAACGCCTTTTCTCAGCATGATGATATAGAATCCACACCCTCCCTTCACTGCAGTCTAGGCAGGTGTCATAATAATTGGAGCCATTGCATCAGACTTCGTCACGGATGCTTCGCCTCGTCAATAACTGGGAAGACACACCCAGAGGGAGGCATGGCTAAAGTTCTGACTTAGTCTCATCTGAACAGGAAGGCTGAGATTACCCACCGGTGGATTCTACATCATCATGCTGAGAAAAGGCTAGGGGATTAGCCATTTTGGATCTAATTCTCACTAACAGAGATGAAATGATAGACGGTGTTGGAGCCATAGGAACCCTGGGAGGAAGTGATCATGCAATATTAGAATTCAACATTATAGAAGCACAACCAATAGAACACAGTCAAACTAGAGTCTTGGACTTCAAGAGAGCTAATTTCAATAAACTTAGAGAGGGCTTGGGAAGGATTCCATGGATGAGAATCCTCAAGGGGAAAACAACTCAAGAAGCTTGGGAAATTTTGAAAAATGAGATAATAAAAGCACAGTCTAGCACAATACCAACAAAGAGGAAAAAAACAGCTCTCAAAAGAAACCAGCATGGCTGCATAAAGAACTCTCTGACAAATTGAAAGATAAAAAGGACAAGTATAGAAAGTGGAAAGAGGGGAACATAACTAAGTCAGAATATCAGCAAATAGCCCGAGCCTGCAAAGATGAAGTGAAGAAAGCCAAGGCTCAAAATGAACTGAGGCTTGCGACCAAAGTCAAAAATAACAAAAAAAGCTTCTTTCAACATGTAAAAAACAAGAAAAAAGTGAAGGAAATGATTGGTCCATTAGTGGGTGGAAGTGGCAAGAAGGTGACAAGCAACAGGGAGAAAGCAGAACTATTTAACTCATTTTTTGCATCTGTCTTTACACAAAGGGAAAAAACAGACCAACCTATCAAAAATAGTGCCACAAAAAACAAAACAGAAACACAAGTTAAGATAGGCAAGAAAATCGTTAGTGAGCACCTGTCCAGCCTAGATGAGTTCAAATCGCCAGGACCAGACGGATTACACCCCAGAGTTCTCAAGGAACTGGCAGATGTGATATCGGAGACACTGAACTATATTTTTCAAAGATCCTGGAACACAGGGGAACTACCAGAGGACTGGAAAAGAGCTGATGTAGTTCCCATCCTCAAAAAAGGAAAAAAAATGGATCCAGGAAATTACAGACCTATCAGCCTGACCTCAATACCTGGGAAGATCCTGGAAAAGATAATCAAACAACGAATCAACGAACACCTAGAGGCAAACAAAGTCATTACTAAAAGCCAACATGGGTTTGTCAAAAATAGATCATGCCAGACAAATCTTATTGCATTCTTTGACCAAGTGACAAAATTAGTGGATCAGAGGAATGCTGTGGACATAATTTACTTGGACTTCAGTAAGGCATTTGATAAAGTAGATCACAACCTACTACTTGACAAGATAGAAAAATGTGGGGTAGACAGAACCACCACCAGATGGATCCGTAGCTGGCTGACCGGCCGTACTCAGCGAGTGGTCCTCAATGGAACTGCATCTATATGGAGGGAAGTGTGTAGTGGGGTGCCCCAGGGCTCTGTTCTGGGCCCAGTACTCTTCAACATCTTCATCAACGATTTGGATGAAGGGATAGATGGGGAACTCATCAAATTTGCAGATGACACCAAGCTGGCAGGAATAGCCAACACTCCAGAAGACAGGCTTCAGATACAGAAGGATCTGGACAGACTTGAACACTGGGCACTAACTAACAAAATGAAATTCAATGGTGAAAAAAGCAAGGTTCTACATTTAGGCAAGAAAAACCAAATGCACAAGTACAGCATAGGTGGCACCATGCTCAATAGTAGTAACTGTGAGAGGGACCTCGGAGTCCTAGTAGACAATCACCTAAATATGAGCCAGCAGTGTGCTGCAGCTGCCAAAAAGGCCAACACAGTGCTAGGCTGCATTAACAGAGGGATAGAATCAAGATCACGTGAAGTATTAATACCACTCTTCAATGCCTTGGTAAGGCCACACTTGGAATACTGCATCCAGTTTTGGTCACCACGATGTAAAAAAGATGTTGAGACTCTAGAAAGAGTACAGAGAAGAGCAACAAAGATGATTAGGGGACTGGAGGCTAAAACATATAAGGAACGGTTGCTAGAATTGGGTATGTCTAGTTTAACGAAGAGAAGGACAAGGGGGGACATGATAGCAGTATTCCAATATCTCAGGGGCTGCCATAAAGAAGAGGGAATTAAGCTATTTTCCAAAGCACCTGAAGGCAGGACAAGAAGCAACGGGTGGAAACTAATCAAGGAGAGAAGCAACCTAGAACTAAGGAGAAACTTCCTGACAGTGAGAACAATTAATCAGTGGAACAGCTTGCCTCCAGAAGCAGTAAATGCTCCAACACTGGAAGTTTTTAAGAAGAGACTGGACAGCCATTTGTCCGAAATAGCGTAGGGTTTCCTGCCCGAGCAGGGGGTTGGACTAGATGACCTCCAAGGTCCCTTCCAACTTTACTACTATTACTATAAAAGGCGTTCAGGTAAGACAACACCCCTTCTCAAGACTTTAAACCAGATTAGGGAGAAAGGGATATCTTGCAAAATGTTGACACAAGTTTTCTTTAGGACATTCAAGATAATTTTAACAGCTACTAAGTGAAGCTGTTTCTGAGATGTTTTATGAATTTTCCTAGTTGGTATATATTTTCTAGCCCAAAAATGTTAATATCTGTTAATGCAACATGGATTCAAAATGGCTCTTATCCCTGCTCGCTGTTAATTTAGAACCATTTGGGAGATTTCAATTTCATAGGATGATTTCTGAGGCTACAAGGTCATTTATATGGAGGTTATTTGCCAACGTATACCTGCAGACTGGCCATGTCAGTGAATAAATACTTCATTTTTATATGCACTTTATATATTATTTGCATACATGAATTGACTAGGCTGAGAAGGCTTTTCCCACCTTCTTCCTGCATGATCTCTAATTTAGTTAATTATTGTTCTGCCACCTCTAAAGATTGCAGATGCCAGGAAGCAGAACATTAAATGAATGTTTGCCATTAATACAGATTACTCTGTTTTGACAGTTTGCTAATCAACTAAAAGAAAATTATGCTGTAAAAATATGTATGATTGCCTTTTAACCTACCCTAAAGCTCTTATATGGATGTGGTTTTTTCATTAAAGGTTCTGTATTTTATAAGCAATTTTTGATAAAGTGCAGCATCTAAAATTAGGCAGCATCAGCACTTTTAATATTTGAGTTTATGAAAAACATTTTAAATTTTCCTATTCAGTTAGCTTCATATTTCAATCCAGAAATCAAATTTAAATATAGTGTTGTCAAATTACTATGTTGATAATGGAGTAAACTCATTTCATTTCATTTCAATATGTTAGATAGTAAGCTAACCAAATTTTTATAATACCCTCAGGTATAAACATCTAGGTTAATGCTTGCCAATTTTTACATGTTATTTAACTGTCATGTCTTTAACTAGCCTAAGTTATTTGTGTTAAACACTAACCTTACTTAAGATCATGAGCTTTGTGAATTACAAAGGAAAGAGTGAGTTTGACAGACAATAAAAAAGAGGAAAATATATCTTATTGAATATATTGATACTTTTTCAAAAAAAGAGTTGTCACAAATTGCTTGATGTTCAAAGAATGTATTCCAAAAAACACCTTTCTATTACATTTTCATCTGCATCATGTGGGCTGAGATATTATTTTTATTGATATCTTTGAAATTCCATACTGGTAACATTTTAATTTAATTGAAAGGGAAATGCAAACATCATTGTTTCCCTAAAACAGGGGTCTACAGTTAAATTGTCATAAATACTTCATGACAGCTTGTTCAGCAAACACAAAGAGAGCACACGTATCTTTTCATACACTGATATAAAAATCTCTAGTGAGACAAAATGAAAAGTATCATGGTATGCTATTAAGAATAAATACGTTATTATTATATCATTTATAAATTTGATATATAACTTGATGTTTGTTTCTTATGATTTATGTTGATTGCTTTATTTAGTATCCTATGACTATCACTGAGTGTTGTATCTTATGAATTATGATTGTATTTTATTATTATCATCATGATTGATCACTTGTTACTTGTATGTACACTAAGACCTTATGCACAAGAGACAAATTCTTTGTGTGTCCAATCACACTCGGCCAATAAAGAATTTTATATATAATGTAAGCAACTCAGCTTCATTAGTATTATAATTATTTATGCTTATTGCAGGGATGGGCTGTTTCTGGGGGGCAGAGAAGAAATTTTGGAAGCAGAAAGGAGTCTACTCTACTCAAGTAGGTTACGCAGGAGGATATACCCCAAATCCCACATATGAAGAAATCTGTTCAGGTAAGGTTCATATTTTTATGGATTAGATATCTCTTACTGACAAAATTAATAGAAGAAATAAAGGTTCAGGAAGTCAAGAAATAAAATAACATGCAAGAGATTAAGAGGAATTTATACAGCTGAAGTTATTAGCATATAAATTTATGAAATTGTTTTATACGAATGTATTTGTCTAGCTTCATGCTTCCTATTCTGTAAAACTTTGACAGTCCTACTGGTCAATATGGTTGACTGAATCAGTATCTTTCTTTATGCAAACTACATTGTTTTTAATATCCATTGTATCAGGAGTGTACATATTATGCATTCAGTCATAGTAATTGATTGTGTGGATCACCTTGGGGAAAAAGGGGAAGTCATACTGTCTAGGGACCGATCAGATGAGAGAGCCAGGGAGCCCTCAATGGCTTAATGCAGCTTTCAGGAAAAAAAAAAAAATTGGGAAGGACCCATCCTAGTGGATCAAGCAGATAAAAATGGCGGTGGGATATTTGTGCCTTCATACTTGCAAGATTCTGTTAATGTAGCCTTACAATAAAGTAGAATTTGTTCATCTTAGTCCTGTTTCCTGCCTGGTTTACCTGGGAGGACTAACAGTCATTGCCCAATATGCTTTTCTTGAGGATTGTACATTAGCATATCTTTCAAGAACAGAATGAAGAAAAGAAAAAAGGAAAAAAAATGTATGTGCAAAATATTTTAAATGGGTTAAGTTGAGCAACTTAAATATCTAAATAAATTTGTAAAAATATAACATAGTGACAATAAAAATTAAAAAACAACAACCAAGCACCAACTTTCCATCATTCCATTTAAAAACTTACTTTTTAAACTGAATTGGGCTTTCTTATTTATTTGTTTCAATTTATATGGCCTCCCATCTCAACATTATGACTCTAACAGCATACAGTTAAAAACATAGCATAACAACAACATAAAAATAAATATATAATCGGCATCTGGGATAAAAACCACAAACAGCCATCATCTAAATTTCATTTTTGATGTGTGCCATTGTGCCCACAGTATAAAAATGACAATAAAGGTTATCTTATCTTATCTTATCTTATCATGGACTCTTATATGTTCTGACCCCAAAAGAGCCACTAGTTTTAAAAAAAAAAAAGTATTAGGACCAGAGATGGTGCAAATCTTGGAAACATCACTTGATTTGTAGCCCTTGAAACAATGTTGTTATTTCCCCTTTGAAATGAATTAATCTTGTCCCGATGGGAATAGATTTTTTTCTTTTGAGGTTCTTTTGATTTTGCACCTATTTTAAATAAATCTACTGTCCCTTTGAAGCGATTGCTTTCCCTAACCCTATGAGATCACGGAAGAAAGGTATTTTCTCTTGTAAATAATTATCCGAATGTTATTTCCTTACAATAATCAGGTTCTTAAAATCACAATACATTCCTTTATTGGTGGGCAAAGCTGCAGCCCTTGGTTTTTGCTGTTTCCTTGAAAGCAAAAGTGAGACTATGATCTAGATTTGCTGTTTTCTCCTTTGTGTGCTTCATTTCGGTGAAGTCTCTGGAATGTTTAGGAACTTGTGTTTAATTCAGCTTACTCCTAGCCACAGAGTAGGAAGAGATCTCAATATATATTCTTGCAGCTCATGCAATGTAGCCATTTGGAGCAATGGAGTATTACAGAATGTGCCTCTTATCTCGGGATGAGATATTTGATTACCAGATTGCAAAACTCTCTTAAGATTCTTTGTGCATCAAATTACATCCACAGCAATTTGAACTCTTTCACAGCTTACTTGACTTCTTGTGGATTATAGTATTTTAGTAGCAGCAAGCCTTTGTGAATTATGTATTATGCTTTTAAGAATGATTATCATCACTTTTTATGTTAGCAAAATACAAACCATGTTGCTCTGAGCTAAAACTATAATCAAATTGCTCTGACTTCTGAAGATAAGTACCCTGATAGAAAATTATTTTTATGTCTCTGTAAATTGTCTTACAGATGCATGTTTGAAAAGATATTTGTAATGGATAAATGTTTTGGGCTATTTCCAATGCCTTTGACTCAATAGACAAATGCACATTTTTTTTGGCTAGTATTATGTAAAATTCATGCTGTTCATTCATTATGAAATATCTCTCTATAGTTTGCTTACAGATGTTCAGAACAATTTTTCATTTATCAGTGTATTCAAAAGTGATTTCAGATCGGTATGTATATAGTGGAACTGAGATCTAATGGAAAAAAAAACTTGTTGATTCAACAGCTGCTTTGTGGTAGTTATCAGCCTCTGTCTTCATCCCATGTACTTTGCTTGAGATCAAAATATTTTTACATTATAAATCTGATTCAAAATATGTAAACAAATAATTATCTGAAATTTTGGGTAGCCTTTCAGAATATAATTATATGGAGGAAAATCAGTTTTGAACATTATTTCTTATTTAGATATGGTACCCTAAAAGTCATTTAGTTTGTATTTGAGCACCCTGCAATATTTTTTTCTTCATCAGCTGTCACTTTGTTTTTTAATATGTATGAATGATCTTTGAAAATTAATGGCAATTTAAATGCCTGTTTTTAGTTTTGTTGCCATGATACCTACAGTTTTGTTCAACAAATTATGCTTGTTTCACAATTTGCTTTTTAAAGAGTTTCCTTCAATTTTAGAATTTTGAGATAGCTGAGAAATGATTTTTTACTATCATATTATTATTTCATGCCTGCTTCTATCCTATTCGTTGTCTGAGAATTCGTTGATAGTTCATTTATTAAAAGTGTATATTCTGACTTCTATTTTATTCAGCACGTAACACTAAAAACAAGGAGTAGTAAAATTATAGGAAAAATACTTTAAACCTCTGTGGAATTCTGCACTGAGTAGTGGATTGGAATTGATGGTCCCATGATTCCGTATCACTTGTCTTTTTTCTAAAGAAAGTAATAATAATAATAGTAATAATAATAGTAATAATAATAATAATAATGATGATGATGATGATGATGTTGGAAGGGACCTTGGAGGTCATCAGGCAGGTAACCCTATACCATTTTGGACAAATGGCTGTCCAGTTCCTTCTTAAAAATTTCCAGTGTTGGAGCATTCACCGCTTCTGGAGGCAGGTTGTTCCACTGGTTAATTGTTCTAGCTGTCAGGAAGTTTCTCCTTAGTTCTAGGTTGCTTCCCTCCTTGATTAGTTTCCATCCGTTGCTTCTTGTCCTGCCTTCAGGCGCTTTGGAAAAATAGCTTGACTCCCTCTTCTTTATGGACAGCCCCTGAGATATTGGAACACTGCTATCATGTCCCCTCTCGTCCTTCTCTTCGTTAAATTAGACATACCCAATTCCATCAACTGTTCCTTATATGTTTTAACCTCCAGACCCCTAATCATCTTTCTTGCTCTTCTCTGTACTCTTTCTAGAGTCTTAGCATCATTTTTATATTGTGGTGACCAAAACTGGATGCAGTATTCCAAGTGTGGCCTTACCAAGGCATTGTAGAGTGGTATTAATATTTCGCGTGATCTTGATTCTATCCCTCTGTAAAAGCACTGTGTTGGCTTTTTTGGCAGCTGCAGCACACTGCTGGCTCATATTTAAGTGATTGTCCACTCGGACTCCGAGATCCCTCTCACAGTTACTACTATTGAGCAAGGTACCCCCTATACTATACCTGTGCATTTGGTTTTTCTTGCCTAATGTAGAACCTTACTTTTTACCATTGAATTTCATTTTGTTAGTTAGCGCCCAGTGTTCAAGTCTGTCCAGTCCCTCCTGTATCTTAAGCCTGTCTTCTGGAGTGTTGGCTATTCCTGCCAGCTTGGTGTTGTCTGCAAATTTGATGAGTTCTCCATCTATCCCCTTGTCCAAATTGTTGATGAAGATGTTGAAGAGCACTGGGCCCAGAACAGAGCCCTGGGGCAACCCACTACACACTTCCCTCCATGTAGATGTGGTTCCATTGAGGACTACACGCTGAGTACGGCTAGTCAGCCAGTTACAGATCCATCTGGTGGTGATGCTGTCTAACCCGCATTTTTCTATCTTATCAAGTAGTAGGTTGTGATCTACTTTGTCAAATGCCTTACTGAAGTACATAACAATTCTTTTGTTAATTATGTCTTTCTGAACATAGTACAATAAAAGAGATGCTCATAATATTTCTTCTAGTTTCATTCATGTTGTACATAGTAATTTTTGGCACTAAAATATCCAATTATCAGATATAGGTATAGCTAGAAGGGGAAGAAAAATAACTGTCCTATTAATGTAACTGAGATATTACTTCACCTTGACAAATGTGCCTAGATTTTTAAGATGCTTTAGCTCCATGATAAAACTATAAATATTATCCCTGTTTTCTGTCACTACTAATGATGCCTACTGGATTGTGAGAACAAATCATATCATTCTGTTACTTTCCTATTGTTGACTTAGTTCACATGGGCTGAAAGAAAGACTGGTCAGTGTCAAAGTATTCTGTATTCTTTGAAAGAATTTTAGGTGGCACAGTATAGAATGATAGCAGTTCTCATTTTCCATTATTTTATTGTAGTAAACAAGGGAAATGGATTGATAAGAAACCATTGCTAATAGTTTTTATCCTGAACACTTTGATTGCTTGGTAATATTCTTTTTAATTAAAAGATTAGTAAGAGGACAGACACTTTGAAAGACAACTTGCTTAATTCTGTCATTGCTCTACAATATGTAGGCAGAGGAGAATAAATATGTTCTAAGGTTCCAATCACCTGGGACAATTTTGAGCCCCAATCATTAGCATTACTTTGTCTCCCTAGAATTGGGATGGATAGTTTTCAGGCTTAAAAGTGGAGGTTATTTCTACATTAGATAGATCAGACTCAAGTAGAAAAGGAAGGCTTATATGATCATTTTACATACAAATGAGAGATTAGACACAAACATGTCAGATTGATACAATGCATTCTGTTCAGTTCAGAAAGTTCAGTTGTATATACTTTATGGAAATGTGATATTAGAACAGAATCATTGGAAGGCTT